TTTGTTCTTAAATTGAATCTGTATGTAAGTCAGAACTGGCGTCAGCCGCTGCTGAAACTACCATGTTTAAACAGGGGCTGAATCTGGACGCCAGTTCTGACTTACATACAGATTCAACTTAAGAACCCCAGGTATTCCCAAGTCAGCTGCAGCTGACCAGACCAGGGAGACGGGGAGCAAAGAGGCGGAGCACGCGGGCAGCCCAGATGCGTCTGGGCTGTCCGCTGCCCGCGTGCTCCGCCGCTTTGTTTCCTCTCCCTGGTCTGCTGGAGACCAGGGAGACGGCCCCGTTCGTAACTGCGGATCCGACATAAGTCGGATCCGCGTAACTCGGGGACTGCCTGTATGTGTTGAATAGAATATGAAAATTCAAGTAAATGAAAGAAGCAATTTCTTTCAGTCATTGACAGATCAGTTTCTGTGGTTCCATTTTTCATGAATTATCATCTGAAGCTCATCTGAACAAGTGGGTTTTGCTATGTCTACATAGGTAAATAGCTATTCTGCATCTTAAGAGCAAGCCTGTTATAGCAAAATATATAATGGGCTCGCTAGTCTGATGTCCCTGTGAGCCTCATTGTACAAGGGATAAGGGACATTTTGGAATCCCACCCTATTTGAAATAATATTGAAATAACCTATGCAATTTGCATAGCACAAATTGTGTAGCTTATTTCAAGGTAAGGGTGCTGTGTATATGTACTTTGAGGTGCCATAGGACTACTCATTGTGTTTAAAGATAGGGTACATCTACACAGCAGCATTATTTCGAAATAATGGATGTTATTCTAAAATAACATATTGCGCTTCTACACAGCATGCTTGTTATTTTTAAAATAAATGCAAAATAACGGGCTGCTTACTCTGACTTCTGTAAACTTCATTGTATGAGGAATAAGGGAAGTCGGAGGAAGAGTGATCTATTTTGAAATAAGTACTATTTAGATGTGCCCAATTTCAAAATAAGCTATTTTGACTTGAGCTACACTAATTGCGTAGCTTAAGTTGTGTAGCTTATTTTGAGTTTAGCCCCGCTGTGTTGAGTGTGTGCTAGTGTGAATTTTCACAATGGCTCCATGTGTGTTGACTCAGGAGAGTCAGCAAGCATGTGCTTTGAACTCAACATAATTGCCTTTGGTTTTATACATGTAGAAAGGTACATTCTCTAAGTGAGGTAACCTTTTAAGCCAATTAAGTGAAGATAGTATAGTATTAGTGCAGCTCACTGAAGAAACACGTTGTGTTTGTGTGTCTAAATGGTTTTCTGTTGACCTAATTACTGGCATTGAACAAATATGACTTGTAATGTGGATATTGTCTGCTTGTTTTCAGACACAGATGAGTAGAGATTGTAGCTTGTGGGTCAGAACTGGGCTTACATACAAACTTAACATTTGGTAATGAGAATAGCTTCAGCCAGTCAAGTTATACACTATTTGTACCCTATACATCTCAAATGTATGGAGGAGGTCCTCATCTTTTCTATATTAATGAGAATTTTGCTTAGTGGGAAGAACAATTTCACCCTCTTTTTATCTTAACATCCCTTTTTACTATTTGTTATGCTCCAGGATATTGAGTCCCTGATGTCAGAGGGAAACAAATCTCGAACAGTTGCTGCAACCAACATGAATGAGGAAAGCAGCCGATCTCATGCTGTATTCAATATTGTTGTAACTCAGACACTTTATGACTTGCAGTCTGGTGTAAGTATAGTAATAGAAATGTAGCTGTATTAGTCTAGTCTAGCTGAAACAAAAAACAGTACTGTGGGGCCATGTTGGTACCCATGACTGTGCTTCTGATCTGGAGGTATAAGTTGTCCTCAAATTGGAAATAATTGTGGGTGAGAACAAAGTTACATGGGTCTGCTGTCAGATTGGCAGTGGTGTCCTCTGGGATAGTGTTTCTAATTGCTTGTAATCCGTCTTCATGTGGGATGTTGGTGTATAGAGCTTGTACATCTATGGTAGAAAGGATGGTGTTATCGGGGTGGTTATCAATGTTTTGTAGTTTTCTTAGGAAGTCAGTAGTATCTCGGAAATAGCTGGGAGTGTTGGTTGCATAGGGTTTGAGAAGAGATTCTACATAGCTGGATAACAGTATGCTAACATCTTTATGGCTGACTTAGAACAACGTTTCCTCAGCTCCAGTCTCCTTTTATCCCTTCTCTACTTACGCTGCATCGATGACATCTTCATGATTTGGACCCATGGCCAAGAAACACTAGAGACATTCCGCAGAGATTTTAACAACCTACACCCCACCATCAATCTCAGCCTGGACCATTCTACGCAAGAGATCCATTTTCTGGATACCACAGTACAAATCACCAATGGTAAATTAGACACCACTCTCTACAGAAAACCCACCTCATACAGTTACCTACATGCCTCCAGCTCCCATCCAGAACACACCATACGATCCATCGTCTATAGCCAAGTCCTGTGTCCTGAGTCGTGCAGCTGTCAGAAACTTCAGGATCTCTACCAAGCATTTATAAACCTCAATTACCCACCCAGAGAAATAAAAAAACAAATTGAAAGAGCCAGACGAATATCTAGAAACCATCTACTTCAAGACAGACCCAAGAAAACCAACAATAGAACACCACTGGTCATCACCTACATCCCCCAACTTAAACCCATCCAACACATTATTAATAAACTACAACCTGTACAACTGGAACAGGATACTAAACTCCTAGAGGCTCTGGGAGACAGACTCATAGTCTCCTATAGACAACTACCTAACCTCAAGATGATTCTTATCAACAACCACAGGACATACCACACTAATACCAATCCTGGAACTTTCCCTTGCAACAAACCCCATTGCCAGCTTTGTCCACATATTCACTCTGCTGATACCATTATTGGACCTAACCAATTGAGTTATAAGATCAAGAACACACATTCCTACTCATCCAGAAATATGATTTATGCTATCATGTGCCAACAGTGTCCATCTGCTATGTACATTGGACAAAGGTCTCAGACACTTCGCCAAAGAATCAATGCCCACAAAACAGATATTAGACAGGATCACAAAGAAAAAACAGTTTCTTGCCATTTCAACCAGAAAGGGCATTGTCTCAATGACTTCAAAGACATTTTAACACCAGACTTGAAAGAGAATCCTCTGAACTGTCATTCATGCTTAAATTTGACATTTTACGCTGAGGTCTCAACAAAGATGCTAATTATCGTACCCATTACAAAGATAGCTTCCCCAATTATCACCTCTAATATCATTAGCTCACAGACATTTACCTCCTCCCTCCCCCTTCCCCTGTTCTGAAATTTGATTTGTCCTTTTCATATGTGTTCACTTTTTTTTATTGTAGCCCTTTGGTATATATGGTCATGCCAATTTTCTTCCCCAGTTTGATCTGAGGAAGTGGGTCTAGCCCACGAAAGTTCATCACCTAATAAACCCATCTTGTTAGTTTTTAAAGTGCTGCATAGTCCTGTTTTTTGTTTGTTCTGGTATAAGTATACGTGTGGGATTCTTGTTTGAAATAAGAGAGACTCACAGCCATTTTCCTCCTTTCAGCCACCCGGTCTCTGGGATTTGAATTTCAGGGGTGATAAATTTAAAGGAAACTTGAAGAAAGTCAGCAATCAGGTTGCATACTGTTATACATCTATAAGTAGCACTGCTTAATCTGGGATAAAAGAGAACTAGATACATTCATGGAGGTTAAGTCCATTAATGGTTATTAGCCAGTATAGATAAGGAATGGTGTCTCTAGTCTCTGTTTGTTTGTCAGAGGGTGGAGATGGATGGCAGGAGAGAGAGAACTTGATCAGTACCTGTTCAGTTCACTCCCTCTGGGACACCTGACATTGGCCACTGTCGGCAGACAGGGTACTGGGCTGGATGGACCTTTAGTCTGACCCAGTATGGCCGTTCTTATGCTCTTATAATGAAATACAAATAGCCTACCATTTTAAAACCTAAGCTGCCTTGACTCCTAAAGGGTGGAGTTTTTCACTTTTTCCGTAAGAGTTATAATGTCACCTAGGGACACAGTTTCCTTTATGATACTGAATTACCCTTTCCTTTGATCCCGTTAGTGGTGATTACTTGTGTGGGAAGAGAGAACACATGAGTGTTCTCTTGGTTTGGTTTGGCTTTTGTCTTTGAGTACGAGTACACTGAAGCTTGAAGTGTGATTGTGGCATGTGTAGCTATATCTGAGCTAGCTTTACTCAAGCTATTTTACCAGTAACAGTGAAGCTGCAGCAGCACAGACTTGGGCCCAGGGTACTCACTCAAATATATTCACAGTAAACTGAAGCTAGTTTTACATACCCTGATTGCAGTGTAAACATACCCTCTCTTTACTGTAATTTAAACTTTTTTAGTGGTACCTGACAGGTAATCCATCCTCAGATAATTTTAAGTTGAAATGCTTTGATGATGCCTTTGACTCATCTAATAAAGATGATGATTCAGATTGTGATTAAATGTATAAAGAAAAACCGTGGAAGCAGCCAGTAGCCAAATGAGAGATGAACAAGCTGTTTAAAACTTATCCTAGACAGAAGATTTTTGCTGCATTAGTGTTGGCAACATTTTAATAGCTTACTATGCCAATAGAGTTATTGAACTTACACCATAGTTAATGCTATTGCATTACAGTGGTGAAACCCTTAGAGAATAAAGTAATATGAGAGTAACTATTTAAAAAAAATAAAAACCTTATGGGAATGACTTTTTCTTCAGGCTCTCTTACATCTCTCATTTATTACTGTTCATAATTTGCTGCTCATAAAACAGCAGGATTTAAGTACTAGTATATCTGGTTCTTTAGCATTTTGTATTCACATTTGTTGGCTATTTGTTATGTTTCATTCTTTTAGAATTCTGGAGAGAAGGTCAGCAAAGTCAGCCTGGTGGATTTGGCTGGTAGTGAGAGAGTGTCTAAAACAGGAGCTGCAGGGGAACGTCTGAAAGAAGGCAGCAACATAAACAAGTAAGGACACTGCCAAATATGAGGTGTAAAAATTAATCTACCGTTGGTGTTTCACTACCTTCTTGCCTAAAATAACTTGTCACGAATCACGTCAAGTGATGCTTCTGGTCAACAAGCAGTTTAATTATGTTTTTTCAGCAACTATGAGCTGAACACCAAATTATACATTGACATAGAGAACCAGATTCATATGATTCAGGTGAGATATTTGGAAAAAGTGACAACTGCTTTCTGAAAGAATATACCTTTGTGATGCATTTCCTCAGACACATGTAGCTATCTCATCATTAAAAGAATATAAACCATAAAAATTAGGTTGAAAACTGGATGGCTTTGTGCCAACATGTGCTAAAAGTATGGTAAAGTATAACTCACTGTTCAAGAAAAATAGGTCACAGTGAAGGTGTGTATGTTTAAGGCTGCCTTGGGGCATCTGTAACTCAAGCAAACACAATTTATAGGACATTTTGCTACCATAACTACCGTGCTATTCCACAAAAACAAATACTTATAGCACCATTGTCTTAAACATACTAATTTCCTTGGGAAAAATTAGATAAAATGCAGCATCCAAACCTAACACTTTTTTTAATAGCAATTTTAAAAATTTCCATAAAACTTTATTGGTTCTCTGTAAAGTGAGCAGGAAAATAAATAAAGGCACAAAAGTCTGACTCATGCATTTACAGAACTGGGCGAACCTTCTGGTATAACAGTATTAAACAAAAATTGTGTGGGTGACTTCTGTGGCATCCAAGCAAACCTGCAAGAACTGATTTGAAGTTTGTTTCTGCATAAAACCAAACACTGGATAAAAGAGACTTTCCTCCAGTCATACCTTCCCCTCTCTGCCACACAGCTTATCCTTTGTCCAGCATTCACTGCCTCCTCATCAGCTCCTGAATTAACTTGCACTTTAATTCTTACGGCATGCTTTCACTACATGGAAGATTGATGCTGCCACGGCTGATATTCCAGGGTTTGATTTAATGGGAGTAATGTAGGGCTGCTAAATCGAACTCACAGGGCACCCTCATCGGCACCAGTACTCCAGAAAGCTGATGGGTGTGTGTGCTGCTGTTGACCTCCTGCTGTATGGATGGGGATTTAAGATGCGTCAACTCCGGCTACATAATTTATGTAGCTGAAGTTGCATATCTTACTTCAGTCTTTCCATTTAGTGTAGACCAGGCCTTAGATCTTGCTATCAGTGTATTAGACTCAGGAGTCCTGTGCAGAGAGAACTTCTAAAGAGATGCACACATTATACTCTCATTGAGACTTCACATTTCTTTTCTTTTTTCTATTTACCCTATTCTAAAGTAAGTCATTCATGTTTACAGTCATCCAAACATTCGGTGTCTTTGTCTCTTTCACTGTCTCTCTCTCATTCGGTCTCTTTGTCTCTGTCTCTGTCTCTCTCTCCATAGAATGAATATATATATTAAAAAAAAATGGTCCTCTCCAGCCTCCCTTCCACTGGGTACTGAGTGACTGCTTATTTCCAGTCCATCAAGGTTTTCAAGGGACTTGACCCATAACTGTCCTTATTGGTTCTTGCAAAGATCCTCAGAAGAACTGAATATGCCAGCTTCTCTCCCAGTAGAGTACTGGCTCCCATACTGATCATGGGGCAGCGATACCCTACAGTCCTTTTGCAATGTATGTGGGAATGTGGGAAACAGATAATATGAGGTACAGAGTAAGTCAGCCATTGATTTAGTGCCTACCAAGAGTTAAAGCACTTCTTAAACAGTCTGTAAGTTTTCACACTTTTTAGTAAAACTGCAGTTGCTTATATCATAGCTGTAACTACTAAGCAAGCCTTTGGAAACAAAATTAATATTAGCCACAATACTGTAATTGGAGCAGCTTTCATAATACTAGGAGCAATAGCTGGGTTCTAGTTATTAAGTGTGAAGGAAAACTGGCTGAAACTGTCAGTGCAGTGTTCTCCACTCTGACAAGCAAACATCACCTCTACTGCTGCTGACTCAGGCGCTTGTTTGGAATGTGCAGGCCTCCAACTGCACAATAACAAGTGAATCCAGTCGTGCATAAGGAAAAAGGGGTATTGAAAATGTGAAATCCATAGAAGCAACTCTTTCATATGTTCTGCATAAGGCTACCATATAAACTTACTCTTTCTGAACAGTCCCTGTTTATTGGGTGGTGGTAGTGTGTGTGTGGTTTTTTTTTTTAAAGGGCATTATATAAGCAATATCAGACAGCAGTATGTGGATTAGGAGAAGGTAATTACACATTTTTGGTGCATTGTGAGTTTTATGAGGCAAAATAGCCACTGGAATAGTGTAATTATTTTATTGCAGTCATTTCTCATAATGCTTCCCTTATAACATATAGACAATCGTTTTTGTTACCGTTTCTTCATTTGTATTTTTAAGGGATGTTCATTTTGCTATGGTTACATTTGTTAACAATTAGCTGTATAGAATAATGTTTGTATTTAATTGTATTTATTTTCTAGCTCTTGCATAGCAATTTTCATTGCTAGATCTCAAAGCTTCTTATAAAAGAGGCCATTATTATCAGCCCCATTTTACAAATGGTGAAACTGGGCTACACAGGTGAAATGACTTGTCCAGCAATCAGCGGCAGAACTGGGAATAGAACCAGAGCTCGTGAGTTAGTTTGGTGGTTTGTCCACTAGGCTACACTCCCTAGTTAGTCATTTTCCTGAAGCAGCAATACAGGTGGGCCACATGCTGAGTAGCCCTGCTCTAGCTGATGATAGTCAAGAGCACACTCCTAAGTGCCAACTATTGGTTCTCCTTAATTGTCTTGGGAGTTTGCTCTGGAGCAGTGTGCAGCACTCCAGTACTTGCCATTTTCACAACCTCTGGAAGTGAGGTTAGGGATCCATTAATCCCTGTTCTCAGACAGTCCTGCAAAGGCTGATGATCTTTCACTTATGCACCACTTGAAAGTTTGAAATACCTGTTTGTGCTGCATGATGTGGTCATGTATATTAAAAAGCTATTTTACACACTGATATGCAAATAAGATGCATACAAATAAGATGTAGGGAGGAGCGTGTCAATTTGTCCCTATGACCACACATCCTGGCATGTGTGGGTCATAAGGATAAATTGACATGCCCCTCCCTACATCTTATTTCCTTCATCTACATTTGAGCCAGGCTTCCACTCATACAGGCAGTCCCCGGGTTACGTACAAGATAGGGACTGTAGGTTTGTTCTTAAGTTGAATTTGTATGTAAGTCGGAACTGGTACATATTGTAGGGGAAACTCTAGCCAAACATTTCTCCAGAGCTCAGTTTTATTCCGCCACACCTCACTTCCCTCAGTCCTTTATTCTCAAGCTGAAGTGTCTGCTGAGAAAAGCCGCTCCGCGTCTCCCTGGTCTGCTGGGGGGAAGCAGCTAGTGCAGGGTTGCCTCACCCCATTTGTAAGTAGGGATCTGATGCAAGTCGGATCCATGTAACCCGGGGACTGCCTGTATTTCAGTTAGTGGAAATGGGGTAGGTTTAGAAGTTAAAATAAAAAAAAGAACAAGTCAAAAATTACTTAGAAAAGTTAAATGTCTTCAAGTCAACAGAGCCTGATGGGAATGCATTCTAGAATACTCAAGAAGCTGATAGCTAAAGGCTCAGATATCTCCTCTATCACCTTTGAAAAATCATGGAAGTCAGGAGAGATTCCAGAAGAATGGAAAAGGGAAAACATAGTGCCCATCTATAAAAAGGGAAATAAGAACAACCCAGGAAATTACAGACCAGTCAGTTTAACTTCTGTGCCAGGAAAGATAATGGAGCAGGTAATTAAGGAATTCATCTGCAAACACCTGGAAGATAATAAGGTGATAGGTAACAGCCAGAATGGATTTGTAAAAAACAAATCATGTCAAACCAATCTGATAGTTTTCTTTGATAGGATAACAAGTCTAATGGATAAGGGAGAAGCGGTGGACGTGGTATACCTAGACTTCAGTAAGGCATTTGGTACAGTCATGCGTGACCTTCTTATCAATAAACTAGGCAAATACAACTTAAATGGGGCTACTATAAGGTGGGTTCATAGATAGCTGGATAACCATTCTCAGAGAGTAGTTATTAACAGTTCACAATCATGCTGGACGGGCATAACCAGTGGGGTTGTGCAGAGGTCTGTTATTGAACAGAACAGGTCCCAAATCTTAATCAATGATTTAGATGATGGCATTGAGCAGTGTTTCTCAACCTTTTTTTATAAATTGCCCCCTTTTCAAAATATAAGTACCCCCCTTTAAAAAAAAAAAAGTACCCCCCAGTACCTACAGTTTTCAGACACACAATTTTTTTCTACCATTGCAGCACATTTATTTAAACAACTTAATTGTAGCCAGGGGGAGGGGAATGAAATTTTTGGGTGTAAAAAGTTCACAAATAACAAAGCACTGTAAAACTTAAACAAAAATTCAGTTGTGTTGATGTACTCCCGAGACTTCTCTCGAGTATCCTTAAGGGTAATTGTACCATTGGTTGAGAAACACTAGCAAGAGTACCCTTATTAAATTCGCAGATGATATCAAAATGGGAAGGGTTGCAACTGCTTTGAAGGATAGAGTCATAATTCAAAATGATCTGGACAGTCTGGAGAAAATGGTCTGAAGTAAATAGGATGGAGTTTAATAAGGAGAAATGCAAAGTGCTCCACTTAGGAAGGAACAATCAGTTTCACACATACAGAATGGGAAGTATCTGTTTATGAAGGAGTACTATTGAAAGGGATCTAGCGGTCATGAGTCAACAGTGTGAGACTGTTGCAAAAAAAGCAAACATGATTCTGGGATGCATTAACAGGAGTGTTGTGAGCAAGACACAAGTGGTCATTCTTCTGCTCTACTTTGCACTAATTAGGCCTTAGTTGGGGTATTGTGTCCAGTTTTGGGCACCATATTTCAAGAATGTTGTGGAGAGGAGAAATTGGAGAGGGTCCAGAGAAGAGCAACAAGAATGATTAAAGGTCTAGAGAACATGACCTATGAAGGAAGGCTGAAAGAATTGGGTTTGTTTAGTTTGGAAAAGAGAAGATTGAGGGGGGACATGATAGCAGTTTTCAGGTATCTAAAAGGGTGTCACAGGGAGGAAGGGGGAACATTGTTCTCCTTGGTCGCTGATGATAGGACAATGAAAGGGAGATTGAGGTTGGACATTAGGAAAAACTTCCCAACTGTCAGGGTGGTTAAACACTGGAATAGATTGCTTAGAGAGGTTGTGGAATCTCCATCTCTGGAGATATTTGAGAGCAGGTTGGATAGACATATATCTGGGATGATCTAGACGGTGCTTGGTCCTGTCATGAGGTCAGGAGACTGGACTTGATGACCTCTGAGATCCCTTCCAGTTCAGTTGTAACAGCTGGAACTCCTTCAGCTCTTTCATTAAAATATCTTTTTGACAGTTTATTACTTTTTATTGCAGTAGCAAAGGCCCTGTTCAGATCAATGCCTCGTTGCTATAGGCCCTGTGCCAGGAATCAATGTCCCTGTATCAAAGGGCGTTCTTACATTTACAGTGCTGCAGTGGCATAGCTGAATTGGTGCCACTGCGCTGCTGTAGCATATAGTTAAGATGCTGCCTATACATACATACATAATGTGTATGAACAAATGTAAAAATATATCTCTAAATGTATATTAAAATATGTTAATATAAATAGTATGTATAAAGGACCAACTATTCCCACCTGTTTCTCAATCCAATTAGGATTAATTAGTTGATGCTTTTTAAAGAATTTCTGTGCAGATTAGGAATGTGATGATTAGTAGGTATCTATGCTTTAAAACAGGGGTCTCCAAACTTTTCAGCCCGAGGGCCGCATTAACTATCAAACAGCAGTTCGGGGGCCGACTACACACTTGAGGTCCAAATAAAAAACAATCAAAACATGGATGTTGTTTTTAATTATGTATTTAATATTATTTTATTCAGTTATTATTTAATAACACATTCATACACTACACATGAACACCTGTATTAGTGTGAATGGTGAAATTGTTTCCTGGATGCCAAAATAGCAGACATTTCTGGCTTTAGATTTGTTGTCCCTAACATCAACAGTGACCTGAGATTATCATCGGACAAGTTTGTTCTCAAATTGTTCTTCACGTATTTCATTCTTGAAAATGTTTGTTCACACAGGTATGTTGTTGCAAAGATTGAAAGGTACCTTGATGCAAAAGTTTTGACATTAGGAAAGTCTTCCTTGGGCAAAAACTGGTAAAAACCCACCAGTCCTATTTTGAACTTGTCCCTAAGGAGGTCATTTGCTTGCAACTCAATGACTTCCAGCTGCAGTTCATCTGGGCAACTGGCCACATCTGCTTCAAATGGGTTTTGAAACAATCTCACTTCTTCTGCCTTTGAATCCAAAGGTCTCCACGGGTCGGATGAGAGGGCCTCGCGGGCCGCATCCGGCCCCCGGGCCGTAGTTTGGAGACCCCTGCTTTAAAACATGCCTGACTTCTTGTAACCTGGTGCTTTAACTGTTTTGTCAGTATAACTTAGGCCTTGATCCTAAATACATTTATGCAGTTGTGTTGGCTTCAGTCTCTGACTCTGATCTATAGCACCATCAACAGTGCTTAATGAATGTGTTGAGGCAAAAGGTCTTTTACCTTTGGACTTTAGCCTCTGAGGAAGGGTAAATAAGATGCTGTAACCTCACATCCTGAAGTATTTAAAATATTCTATTTTAACTGAGTCCCAAACTCTAGGTGTAGTCTCATCAGGTTACAATATGGAATACTAGGCATCCACTTCAATTGCTCTCTGAATCAAGGTCTCTGTTGATAAATATGATTACTTTAACAGGCATCTTAGAAACTGTATATGAATTACTGCAAATCACAAAGTCTAGTTCTCTTTGAAGTCCTCCTCCTTTTCTGAATTTTATCAAATCACCTTGTTTGGAATGTATATATAAAGTTGTTATTGTTTTGCTATTTTCGTAGGTCACTCTCAACACTGGGGTTGGTTATATCATCACTTGCTGATCAAGCAGCAGGAAAGGGGAAAAACAAGTTTGTACCTTATAGAGATTCAGTACTCACTTGGCTTCTCAAGGTAACACATGATCTCATTTCATCCAATAGGAATTTTTGACTTTTTTGAGCTGAACTCCCTCCCTTTTGACTTACAATTTTGGGTTCTCCCCTCCCCCCAGCCAAGACAAAACATTCCCACACTCTGGGTGGCCCATGCAGGTGACTTGGGGAAGGAGGTGGTGTTCTGTCTCTGAGTCCCACCATTCAGGACTGTCCCAAGCTTTGCCATATGAGGCTCATGCAAGCCTCCATCGCTGCCCTGGGTGAAGGAAGGGAGGGAGCACCGAGTGGGCCCTTCAAGAGGCACTACGGTTATACACAGGGAAATGGGCTCTGAGCTGCACCCAGAAAAGTGTGCAGTGACCCCGTGGATGCCGGGCTGAGCTAGGCAAACATATGAACAAGCACATGGAAGGGCAGCTGCAGTCATGGGCAGGGAATAACTCTCTGGAGCACATGCAGCTGCCTACTGTTGGTGGAGATCCTACCCTTTCATCGCAGCACTGACCTGGAGATCCTTGTCTGGGCTTCTTTACACTGTTCGATGGTTGACAGATCCATCACCTGGGGGGAGCCACACTACCCTGACCTGGGCTAATGAGGCTGCCTGCAACTTGCAGGGAAAGGACAGCGCACTACAGTACTTGGGGCACCTCATGCAGCTCCGGGACAATGCAAGCCCCACCCCTCACTATTGAACTTACGACCCATTGTGTCTGCAATCCTCCAGTGCTTCCTCTCTCCCCATACTTATCTGACACTCAGAATGACAGCCTGTTTGACTTTGGCACTAAGTGCTGTGAGGGGAGGGACATGAAGTCATCATGGGGCAGCCATTGGAATACAGCCACATCTGTCATGTAAGTTGGGAAGGGATGGGACGACATCCATTTCCAGCCCAGGCAGAAGTACATCATTGTTCTTGCCACTCCTGTTCCTCTGCATGACTGAAATAAGCAAAAAGACTCACATCTCCTACATGTTGCCAGCTGAGCCTGCCTTCTTGAGCCAACTCAAGGGGGAAGTTGGTTATCAGGAGAAAATAGCATTGCTTTGGCTCTCCTAAACATTCCTCCACACTTCACTAGATGGGCACATCCCACCCTTTGAAAATCTTTGTTGTAGACTAACTGTAAGCATGATGCGTTGTGGGATGAGAGGATATGTCTTATGTACAAACACCAGCTCTTGATTTTTATTGAACTGATGCGTGGTTGCTGCTATAAACGTCTTTCCATTTAGTAATAGATGCTCTGGTGCTGTTTTTGCTCTGACTGCAATGATATCTTATGTCCTACTGTACCTCATTCACTTGAATCTGTAGTGGGATCATGTCTAGTACACCAAGACCTAGAAATTACTCAAGCTTTAGATCAGGTTCAAATTAACCAGTGCACTTTGGTGTTTAAATAGTTGTAATTCATATTTCAAATCTCTTTTTAGAATTACATTATGACTACAAAGAGCATGGGGTACTTTTTAATCTGTCCTGTATGCTTTAAACTTGTCCTGTGTGCTTCAAACTTGTCATGATTATGCTTTAAAGGACAATTTGGGAGGAAACAGCCAAACTGCCATGATAGCCACAATTAGCCCAGCAGCTGACAATTATGAAGAAACTCTCTCTACATTGAGATATGCAGACAGAGCCAAAAGGATAGTTAATCATGCAGTAGTAAATGAAGATCCAAATGCCAGAGTGATTCGAGAACTACGCGAAGAAGTGGAAAAACTAAAAGAACAGCTTTCACAAGCTGAGGTAAAGTTATATGGAGCTTTGTGTATTTAGAGTTCTATAAGGAAATGTGTTGTTAGGAATTTAATTCTTACAATAGAGTATAGAAAGGGAGATTGCAATGTTAATTATGTTAATTTTGTTTCTTGAAATAAACTGCAATATCTGATTGTTCATGAGCCTCGTGTAAGCACACACAGCATGGCTCCAAGTAAGGGGGGTTCTGGTGCACGGAGCAGTTATGGTAACCTGGAAAGATGTATTGAGAGCACACCATGCGTCCCTAAGCAAAAAGGAAGAGGACTTTCAAAATTCCAATGCAATGTAAAGGGCGGGTCTAAGGGGAGGGCAGTAGTGTTCAAACAGATGACCAGAGTGGTAAGAACAGGCATTGTGGGATAGATACTCCTCAAAATATGAGGTTTAGAGGATCTTTCAAAAAAGGCTTTTCTTTTCGAAAGAACCACATCTAGACCGCAGTTTCACTTTCGAAATAGCATTTTTTGAAAAAATGCTGTGATGTGATTATGCAAATGAAGCACGGGAAATTCAAATCCCGACTTCATTTACAATTTCAATATGTCTAATTTACATCCTTTAGAAAGAGAAATGTAGTCTAGACATAGTGCTAGAGTGTAGCAACTGTGGATCTACTGTGCACTAAGTGCCTTGCCAATGTGGACACTTCGGGAGTAACAACACTGTGAACTGAAATACTGCACTGTAACTTGCAAGTGTAGCATAGGCCTAGGTTTATAGCTTATTACAGCAATCTAAAATCCATTTAAATTCCCCTTTCCTTTTTCTTTTCCTTTCACCTCTGATTAGAGATGGGCTAGTAGACTTTTTCCCATTGAATGGTTCCTTGATACATGTTAACTACTTATGCTAAACAATCTGTTCTGTCTTGTATTTTCTATTTACCTGTGGCACTTTGGGTATGTCAAACATGCTGTTAAAATCCATGGCTTACCCATACCAGTTGACTTGGGCTAAGGAGCTACTCAGTTGCACAGTGGATATTCACACTTGGGTTGAAGCCTGGAATCTAGAACCCTGCAAGACAGCCACTGCCCAAACCCAAATGTCTACATTAAATATCCCCTTAGCATTAACCCCATCAGCTCGAGTCAGCTGGCACAGGCCAGCCGTGGGTGTGTAATTCTAGTGTAGACGTATCTCTCAGTACATTTCCCAGACCTGAAGAAGAGCTTTGTGTAATTTCAAAAGGTTGTCTCATCGGCAGAAGTTGATCAAATAAAACACATTGCCTCACCTGTTCTGTCTTGCTACTGTTAAGCAAATTTTTGCACAAAAATCTATTTAAAGATGCCTAAAATTGCTCTAAATTTATCCAGCACTACCAGATGTCTTGTTTGTCAGACTAAATTATATAAAGCTTTCAGACTTACCATTTTTGTACCCTTTGACTAACACTAAAGGATTATTGGGAACGAAAATACCTACTGAATATTTATTTATCACATGGATATTCTCACTATCTGGTTTAATTTCTTTTTGACCAGGGATGTAAAAGGTTAACCGGTAAGCATTAGTCTTACCGTTTAACCCACCTTGACCATTAATTGCAACTGGCCTCAGTGGCTCTGCACTGGACAGAGCAAGCCCAGACAGGGTAGCACCACCTGGCCAGAGCAGACCCAGACCCAGCCACACTGGCCAGAGGAATCAGCCTTAGCCCTTTAATTGGTTAACTATTTAAATAACATATTTTAATTATTTGGTTAACTTTTTAAATGTTTGACAATGATTAGGGTGAGAAGTGTCTCATAGTCCCAGAGCATATCTGATAGTGCTTTATACCCACAGCCTGTCCCAGTTTTTATCTTCAGTGCTCAATTTTTATGAACTATTTAGGACACCTACAAATCCAGAAGTAAAACATTAGCAACTTGACATATGTCCTGAATCTAGCAAAGGCATTTAATCCAAATATTTAGAAAGTAATAAACCCAGATAGGGTGACTGAGACTATCCAATTACAAAGGAATAACTTGATAGATATTTTTGTTTACATATAGTCACCTAGTTTTTGCATAAATATTTTGGGTCAGATCTTTAGCTTTGATAAATTTGCATAGCTCGAATGACTGATGGAGTTACCAAGATTTGCCTCAGCTGAAGAATTGTCCCATTATTATCAGCTGATTCTTTCACCTCAATTAGGAATTGATCTCACCTCTTCCTAATATTACCCTTGAATAGAATTTACAGAATTTGTAGGTTGAGATTTATTTTCCATCATTTATGCTATTTTCACATGTAAAATTATCTCAAGAAAAAAAGGAAAAATCTTGTTATGGTTCCGTTGATGATTGTTAATGTTGTGTTCAGTTGCTTGCTAAAATCATCTTGAGCAGAGTTATTTTATGTGTGAAGACATTTGAAAATATTAATAATTTTCCTCTTTTCAACATTCAGGCCTTGAAAGCACCAGAGCTGAAGGAAAAATTGGAAGAATCTGAAAAATTGATAAAAGAACTTACAGTCACCTGGGAGGAAAAGCTAAGGAAAACAGAAGAAATTGCACAGGTAGTTCAGATACTTTAAGTAGTGAGACCCAGATCCTCAGCTGGTGTAAATGAGCATAATTTATTAGACTTCAGTGGATCTTTGCTGACTTACAGTAGCTGAGAATCTGGCTATAGATATTGCTGGTTCCTACATCCTTACCTCTGTGGGGAGACTTCTCTTTCTATGTGTTTTTCATTCTTTTATCATTTAATTCAACCTTAAATCCTGAATACAGTGTAATTTGCTTCAACTCAGTTTCATTAGAATAGATTTAATGGGATCTATCTTAAGTGATATCTTAAGTCCACTATATGTACTTAAAACAAATAGCAGCGTGTATAGGCCAGTTTGTAAGACAAAAGGTTAACCAGTAAGCATGGAAATGAATATAATGAGTGATGAAATCATACCTTTCCACTGAAGTTAGGGAACCAGGATTTCACCATTGTATTCATTCACATGGACTGTTATAAAACAGCTCTAAAACATAAAGTAGCTCTGTAATGTAAAATAAACCATTTTGTAAAAACAAATTGACTGGTGTCACTAAGGGCATGTCTATACAAGAGCACTTCATAATATTATTCCAAGATAATTGAAGGTGTGAATTTGAAATGAATTGTTTAAATTGCAATAAACTCCTATATGGACAGATTCAGAATTAGTGTCCTTAATTCACTTTTATCTTAATTCTGAATTAAAATAACCCAAATTAAGGCCAGTTCAGTTATGAATCTGTCTACACAAGGATTTATTACAGTTTTAAATAATCCATTTTAAGTTCACACTCTTAACTATAATTTTCCAGTGTGTCCTTTTGTAGACAATATTACCATTTACTAGAATTTACAGAATTTATAGATTCTTATTTATTTTCCATAATTTATGCTATTCATTTTTTTGAGTTGGAGAGTGAATGAATGCACTTTCAAGTTCTCATGCATTAAGAGTCTGTTATGATGTTTGGGTTGCAGCTGCTACAAAATAACATTTAGATCGAAACAAAGACACCTTGGCTGGGAAAATACTTTGTTACTATTAGGCACTTTGTAGCTTTTGAAAAACAAAATAAAAATTTGAGCCTAAGCTTTATGGCATGTCCCATACCTGAAAGCAGATGTGCTAATATGCTTATCTTTCTAGTATTTACAAGTAATGTGACAAACTCAGAGTTGACATGATGATTCAGAGCCTGATTCTACAACTCGTATGGTACATAGTGGTTATTCATGTGAGCAATCACACTGAAGTTGGTAGGACTACTTGCATAAGTAAGTGGTTTTCAAAGCGAGTGAACATTAAAGGAGTCGGTTATGGCACAGAAGAGTAAAATATAGTAAAAGAATACATGATATGGTCATAGTTTATTTTAGTTAATCCTGTAGTGTATGTAATACTTTTCGTATCAGTGTCCCATATGTGGACTGGTGTTCAGCTTTATTCTTTGCTTTCATTTACTTGTTTTAATAATTATCTCAGCAAATTATATTATGCAAGTTTAACTTTTTTATTTGCTTTTAGGAAAGGCAAAGGCAGCTAGAGAGCATGGGAATTTCTCTTGAGTCCTCTGGTATCAAAGTCGGGGATGACAAGTGTTACCTGGTTAATCTGAATGCAGACCCTGCCCTCAATGAACTTTTGGTTTATTATTTAAAGGTAAGAATTCAATCAGGACACTGACATATTTAACAAATCATACTGAAGACCAATCATGTTGTTAATTTCTGAAAGAATTGGTTATTTAGAATGATGGACTCATAAGACTGATTGCAACAAAATACAGTTGTCCTGATTTCCCCTTCAATTACATGAACTTGTATCTTCCTGGCACATTAGCTCCATTGACTTCAGTGAGATGACTCTTGATTCATGATGGTGAGACAGGAGAACCAGGCTCAGTGCGTACAAGTGTTATGTAAATTCCTGTGTTGCAGCTCCAGTTTTTCCAGTTGAAGACTAAATGTGACTGCCCTTTGGACTCCATTAGCCCAAGAGGTTGATGTGAAGCACTCCTGCACAGCACTTGCAGGTGCTTCTTACCCATGAAGTGAGAATTGGATTGAAGGGATTAAATCTGAAAGCTATGATCTGTTTAGCTCCACAGTGTTGGTTTTCTATACTAAATTAATGCAAGCTAATATGGTACCCCATTAGCATATGCTAATTCTAAGAAACCATTCAAATATTCAGGAAAAATGATTCCATAATTCATTCAATGACTTTATCGGATATCCACAGTTGACAGTTAAGAAGTTTTAGGGTTTTTTTTTTATTTTTCCTGTTGGATACACCATCAGTGTTCCCTCTTAAGATTTTACGTCCGTGAGTGGAGTGAGTTTTGTCTTGTGTACCAGTATTGAGGTCATGTGTAGCAATATTGAGGTCGATATAGATTCCTTGACAGATGCACACAGTCCATTTTTTTCATTTTGCCATTTCCCACAATTTTTTCTTTTTTGGAAATGACTAGAGTAATAACAAACACACAGATGGAGTTTACTGGATGATGTCATTTATGCATGGAGTGTCCTATTAAAACGTATAACGTTACACTGTTCACTTAATCGACTTCCCAGATTTACACTTAAGTCAAGGAAGTAAGGTTATTTGAAGATGAACATATTTAGGGAAATTAGTGTGACAGTTTAGGAGAGAGATAAGGTCAAATCTGCAAACATTAGCAACCAGTGTCATCATTTTCTTACTTGTCGTGAATGTTGGAAAGAATGTGCAGCAGCATTTAACTGGCAACCAGGGGGTAACAAAGGGCAAGATTGATCCAAGTGGACCTTGGAAAAATGTAAAGTCCAGAGTATGACAGTACTGCATCTCAGAAAGGTTGTTTGCTAAAACAAAGAAATTTCTTGAGGTCAGAAGACTGCATCATGTCCTTCCTCTGATCCAGTACTTCAGATCACATATTATCAAAGTGTTATGCCAACATCCACTAATTAGGCATGATCGTGCACAGTTTTAACAAGGAAAAGGGCTTAGAGAACTGGTGGCCAGCCTGGGCTGTAATAAACAATTTGAATGTCCTGTTTCTGGGCTCCATGTGTATTCCCTTTCCCGTGACAGCTGATTCTCAAGATATTTAATTGGCAAGTAGTTAATAAAAATACCCATTCTTCTTGCTGGACCACTCCACATCTGACACAACATAATTCATAGCCATGGTGAGATGATTAAATAACCTGGAGGAAGAACAGGTTGGGTAGAATTTTTTTTTTTTTTTGGGGGGGGATAATGCAGCAAAAATGTTAGGTCCAATCATATTCCGTGAAAGGCAGTGGAAAGATTTTCATGGACTGCAGTGGGAAGTGGATCAAGCCTACAGTGATCAGCAAAGTTGGAAATGCACATAGACGTGGAAGGGGGGATTGGGCAAAACATTATTTGTGCTAACAGAGGAGGCCAAATGCACCAGCCATCTCTTGTCTGTAGCCTTTCCTCCTCCTCTCCCCATTATCCCCCCCGAAGAATAATCACCATATTCTCCACTGCCAAGGAAGCTAGATGTCTGCCAAACAATGGGAATGACAAATCTGTTCAGACTGAAGTGTCAGTTATATTAAGATTCCTGATGTGACTCAAAATCCTACAACTGAAAACACATTGGGTTTCTTCATTTTCAACATCAAAGAAGCTTTAGCTATTGCTCTCCTGAGCAGTGCATTGCTTGGTATGCATGCTTGTTTACTTCCTTCATACATCTGCCTGCCTCCATACACACCCACACACACCACTTGATATCTCTCTCTTTCACACACACACACATTTTCATGTATTTAATTTTGTGCTGGAGATTGTGAGTTTGCATCTCTGAGTCACGTGTTTCAGGCCTAGACCTTCACTTTTACAAAGCTGAATCTTGATTTAACAGCTCTGCTGCTGGTGAGACTGATACTTGCATGAACCAGGCATGTGTCCAATTATTATCAGCAAGATCACCAGAAACCCTCACTTTTGGCAAACTTTCCCATGTTCTATCAAGACCCATGTAATATCTCCTTTCCTCTGTTCCCCAACGTTGTTGATTGCAAAGATGTAGATGGGTAAAAATCTCCACAATCAGCTTCCTGCTCCTGCCCATCTCCTTCAGTTTTGCTGTTATCTATTTTTATGACATCATCATTCAGCACAATGGAAACTATTTTGACATCACAAAATCTGAATGGGGAACAATACTTCAAGGAATCAGGTAGAAGGAGGTGTTGATTAGGTATGCCAGAGCTTCTGTATATATCCACAAGTATATGAATAATCAGAGAGAAAAAGAAAAAAGAAAAGGGGGGCGGGAAGAAAAGGTTAAGTATTAGGAAAAGTAGATAAAGATACAGTATTATCAACTAGTTTTAGGCAAATTAGTTGCGTTTAAAAAGGGTTTTAGAAAAGCTAATATCAAGAGGAATCTGCTACAACAACGTGGGTGTTTAGAGGGGTGTCTGTGTGGAGGAGCAAATAGAAGAGGGATTGAAACAAGCCCATAAAGTGCTGTGATCCCCAAATATGCTGTCATGTCCTAGTGCATGAACACTACATAGTGAAATTGACTAGGAAAAACGAGAAGCTGGCCAACTAGAGACATGAGAAGAGAGTGAGGAGAAGGAAGAGCTGATGCTTCACATGCCAGATTCAGACTATGAGAAGACTGACTTTCCCTCAGACTGCCCCAGAGGGACAACCTCACTGTGCCCCGGATCCAGCCAGAGCATAAAGAGGACCAGGGCAGCCACTTCCATGCGGCTTTGCCAGAACCTACCACCACCACTCATCTTCCAGCAGGAAAGTGAGCGGTGAGTGCTGCTGCACAGCTCTGCAAATGTGGTAGGCGGGCCTAAAATTTTTTATGCACAGACATGCAGGCGCGTAGCTTAGAGAGAGCTATACACATCATATGTGTGTAGAGAGCTAAGCTGGGGTCCTTTCCCTATGCATTTTAACCTCTAATAAATACTTTGTAGGCCAAATTAAGCCCCCAGTTATACCTCTGCCACTCCATTGTCTTCAGTAGATTTGCACTATGTAACTGATTGAAACTTGGGGCTGGATTCCATTACTCTAATTCACACTATGTAGTACTGTCCTTCCTAAGTTGTCCCCTTGACTGTAGAGTAATGTAGGATTCAGTACATGTAAGGATGATGGACTCTCTCCCTTAGTAAGCAGCTGTGTTGCTGCTGAAGAAGAAATAGAATATAGGTTGCTTCCTTTTTAGTTATGTTGGCTAAAGGCAGTAAAACATACTTTTGTTCACTAAAATGAGCAGGTATAATTCTGATACATGTGTGAGCAAATTTATTTTAAACTTCAGTTTCAGATTACAGAAAAACATGGTGTAGCTCTTAATGTCCTTATACCAAGTAAAATATTACATGATAAACATTTAAAATACAAGAAGTTGGACTAATCTGTATACAAGGGCCATTTTTGGTATTCACTCTGAGTTAAAACTAACTGTAATGCAGTAAAGCTTTTAAACATCAGAGTAATACATTTTCCTAACATTTTTCCTTCGTGGCACTAACTTCTATGCATTCTGGTTACTAGAGATACTTTTTATTTCCCAGAGGAAACAATGAATACAAATCTTCTAATATATCAGCATAGATAAGGTGTGTTCTGATAATACATGTATCCTCCGAAGTGAATGACAGAGACAATAGGGTTCATTGTAGCAGGACCTAGCTCTTACATAGTGCTTTTGTCAACATATTTTAGAATGCATCACAAGAGAGGTCACTATTATTATCTGCATAATAGTTTCTGTTTTAGATAAATGTTTAATAGTAGGGTAAGAGATGTTTGTATTGTACTGTTTAAATATAAAGAAATAAGTATAAACACACTAAAATGTTTCACCCTTCTAATGTTATCTTTAGTGAGGTGTATGACCCTTGGAATTATGGTGTCTCCCTAGGGAAGTTGCAGGGGGCTTATCTGTGTTAAAATTGTGGGGAGAGAAACCTATTATGCACAAGCTTCTGGAATATTCTAGGGAGACGACTAGACTAATTCATCTCAATGGCCAGTCCCTGAGGTCCCTGACACAGTTGAGGAAGACAGCAAGCTGGTCCTTGGTATCAAAAAGAATTGAGAAACACTGGACTAAATTATATACAAGGTTCTTTCCAGCTCTACTTTTATCCACAGAGCTTCCATTGACATCTGCTGTGTAGTTAGGTATTGGCATGTCGGTCCTCCACTTTAGGTGTGTGTACACCCCATGTACCTTGGATCAGAGATTTTTGCAGCAGTGCCTCTTCAGGTTACGCATGTATTCTACATGTCCTTGTGCCCTGTACCGAGGATATTTAGGATGAGCAGGTGAACCACTTTCAGTATATTCTCAACTGCCTCAGCATGAGATGGAGCATTTAATGTACCGGCATATATTGTTCAGGTTTTTTTCCCTGTCTCTGGTTATCTTTTTTTCTTTAATTTTGTCTTCTACCTGATCATTTAGTAGAGGAGTTTGTTGATAACCCCTTCCTCATCAAGATTTTTTTAGTTTCAAGATCCCCATAAGCCAGGTTTTCAAACGTTGCCTCACTTGCCAGAAAGCTCTCCAATGCAACCATGGGCATTCTTGATATATCTGTTGCTCAGAGGAAATGCATTTCACTCAGAAGCATCTGCTTAGTATTTAAAAGTGC